GGGCACTGATCCGACGAATTATAACAGCCGCGCGCTCGTGTGCGTCGTTCAGATACTTGTGCGCGCTGCGCTGAATAACAAAACGAACTACTAATTAAATTTTTCCTACGGTGCTTCTTAAGAATCACCGTTGGAAATGCCTTCTTTCGTTGATTACTTCAAAATGACAGCTTCCCAGAAAAAATAATTTCACAGGGACTTTAGTCCCCTTACTATCTTTCAACCAAGTTTGTTTTTCAACAATAATTACGCCAGTTACTTTTCGGATAGCTGCAAATGATGGACTATAGCTTTAACATGCAGCGGAATTGAAAACAAAAAAAAATATCGTTTTGTTGAAAAACGAAGCGGAGCAATGGGATTACACTCAAAAGATATTCCTCAAAAAATTAAAAAAAAACGTTTAAATATTTAGTTCTGAAAAGACAAACGAAGTTAAGAGACATGCATTTAGAGAATCATTTGACGGTTAACGTATGTTCTTTGTTTTATTTGTTTATAGGTTTAAGGTCTGTTTCTACTGTTTTGCTGTTGTTAGTTAGTTACCGTAAAGTAAATTCATCTGAGTTAATTTAGATCGACTTTGATCTGTGATTAACAAGCTTTTTGATCTAGTCCGAAAAGACGGTAGGGCTCGATAGTCCGAATTGAAAATAAGGTTCGACAGTCCGTATGGACAGTACGGTTCGTCAGTCTGACACTTCAAACTATCGGACCTTATTGTCAATTCTTACTTTTGGACCTAAGAGTCTTTTCGGATTATTGGACCTTATTGTCGATTCGGAATAATGAACTCTTTGCACTATTGAACCATATTTTCGTTTCGGACTGCTGAAGCCTCGGACTAAACAACCTTATTCTAAATTCGGACTACCGAACATTCGGATAAACGAACCTTCGGATATCAGACCTTCGGACTTATGAATCCTCGGACTATTGAATCAAATGTTCGGATTAACGAACCTTATTTCATTTAATAACGAACACCCTCTTATTGGAAATGTATGCATTCGGACTATCGAACCTTCGAACTCAACAACCGTCGGACTATCGAACCTTCGGACTATCGGGCGGACCCCGTTTAAAACAGGTGTTGATGTATTTTGAGAAGGTGATGTATATTTCCTTGTTCAAAAACAACAAGTTGCGACCAATTTCACGATGCCCAAAATGTTGAACAAAAGCGTTAAAATTATTAAATTTTTGACTTGTTGGTAGTTTTTGACCGAAAATGTATTGATGAATGGGAATGAATACGTGCTTGCCCGGTATTAAACAAGTTCGTTTAAGACTGGTATGGGGCCTTTTTGCCAATCATTTCCCTCGATCAAGTCCCTCGCCTTCGGCTCGGGCCATTATCAGCGTCCTTTCCCCAAACAGGTCTTCAACGCAATTGTTTAAAACCGGCCGAGCACATAGTGATTCCCTTATTATATATATACGTCGGATAGAAACATAGCTTAGTGAAACTTATAACGCAATTGTTTGATTTTGCGAGATATAATCAGAATACTGGAAGCAAGTTAGCCTCCAAGTGTCCACTTTTGGCAGAGGTTGAAAGCAGACATGGCAATTAAGGTTAACAAGCACTGGGTCGAGCAACGCGCCAGCAGTGCTGGGCGCCAACAGAAATAATTAAACAGAAACTAGCATTTTTAATTAGCATGTAACAGCTTGCGAATTTCAGTTGTACGAAAGTGTGAGGTGTTTCCTCCTTTGCGATCACAATGGCTGCCTGTTAGCTACTAGCTAAAGCAACTCGGCATGAATCGAGAAAACAATTTTTGGAATGTATTTATTTTTATCAATTTTTATAAGTAAAACAAAAAATGTGGCCCATCAAGCTGACGTTTATCAACGGATTCAGAAGCACGAAACGACTGAGAATATGTCTACTTCCCTTGACGGGATGCTTGGCCATCGCAGGTTACTCCCAAGCTAATGCCGGTACCTATTTATACTTCTGTATGGATTTTTTAAAAGCTGCATGACAAATCCCGTGTCATATGTGTATATAAAGCCAAGCATTTTACTTTGAATGACCCGGGGAAAGATTAAAATAAATGGTTTTCAAAACTGTGGCAAAACAAGATTGCATAATGACAAACGTTTGTTTTGCATAATGTATCGCGAATCTGCACAAATATTATTGACGAAGCGTTGTGGAAGCGTTGTTGATGTTGTTGTTAATTAACACTTTGGCTTCTGCTGCTGATGTTGTTGTTTATTGCCATTTTGGCAATTTAAGTGGCTTTGTAGATCTAGAGGTAACGTGGAGCTGTGCAAGCGGCTATTATATAGATTAATGTATACCCTGGACACACTGGAAAACCCACTGAGTTGTCATTTGTCATGACATCTAGAGAATTGTATAGAAGACACGTAATCCATTCACAAATCTAATCCAAGTTGTCTAGCCCGCGATAAAAAAAAAATGAAATGATCAGCGTCTGTGATCCATGGTTTGAGTGAATTTGAATGCTCTTCGCTGATCATTTCAATTTTTTTTAATCGCGGGCTAGACCACTGAATTGAATGATTGTTTTATTGAATAATCGAATTGTGATCTCAAACTGCATTCAAATCGCGCTATAATGAATGGCTCTGAAACCAATTTTAATTGTCATTCTACAGGCAACTCTCGATACATGAAGTCCATTGGGAACACGGCGTATATTTATGACAGACAAAAGCATATTCTGTCGAAGCAATAGCTCCACTTTATTACTTTGCTAATATATTCTGCAGTTATTATTCATTAACATCAGTTTATATGATACAGTCCTTATGTACATCTGCAAACATGTTACAAATGTAACCAAAGTAACAATTGTTTCTAAATGTCTTTTCATACTTCGTCGTTGTGTTCATTATTTTTTTTCGCAATGTATAACATATTTCTAATTAGCGCTGAAAACCTTTTTCAGATGATAATAGTGTACGGATCTGGGAATTTCCCAATCATTCTTATTTGCATATGACATTTTGACCCACACGTGGTGAATTACGGTGACTGCTCTATGTTCCGACACCCCTTTGTTACGACTACTCAACCTATGTTCCGACACCCCTTTGTTCCGACAACTTGTACGTAAGATTGCTTTACTCCCGGTGAGGGATAGGGTTAGGTTTAGGGTTAGGGATAGGGATAGGGATAAGATCATGTGCAGTCGGAACATAGGGGCGTCGTAACATAGGTTGAGTAGTCGAAACATGGGGGTGTCGGAACATAGGTTGAGTTGTCGGAACGTATGGGTGTCGGAACATAATTGTCGGAACATAGAGGTGTAACCCTGAATCACAAAGCATTTTCTCGACCGCACTCTGGTCGACCGGAAGTCGCTTACATTATGTACATTTGTATACATTGCATTTGCAACGTCTGCGCGTTTTCGGACAGTTCCCACGCTTGGCCCCAGCAGCTCGGAAGCAAGGCCAGTTTGCCGTGATGGCTTCCTGTGGGATAACGTAGCGGATGTTTCCGATACATTTTGGCCAACTTTAAGGCGTCAGGGTAAAACTATAAACTAGAAGTAAATGTGTTTGTTTATTTTTATAAATTCGCACAGGAAGTCTTTTTTTCTACTGTATAAATTATATACTTTCGACCTGTGAAATGTGCACGCTGCAGATAACCAAAATAGTCTTTTTTCAGTTTCTTTGTAGGTCTTTTTTTTGGGGGGGGGGGTGTTTACTTCTTGTGAATGTAAGCTTACCTCATATTGGTTGTCACTGTAATAAATCATCAGCTATTGTGAGCAAATCAAGGAGAAGCTTGCCCCTTCCAACGATAAGCGTGTTTAGTGAAACTCCAATCCTCCTAAACTGGTGGACGGATCCCCCACCTCTGACTAATATAGCAGCACCGACCACTACCTACATCAGGTAAACAGCAGTATCATGCATTTTTTAATGCAATCCATAAAAAAAACAAGTTTGTGTCTCAGTGCAACCGATTTTCAATTTTCGATTTGCAATGTTCATAGGTATTTTGTTTCTTTTGTGAACAAGAATTATAAAGTCACCAACTATATGTTTTCAAAACCAGAGGCAATGTGCGTCACCCACACAACAGCACTGCAGGGCTAGGATTAAGGCAGTTGATTGCCTGATTCTACAATGATTAGGATAATTCATAAGACTCTTGATAAGGATGGAATGACATGACAAATGACCACTGTTTTTGATATACAGTCTCCGATCACCAATTATTAGTCTTTGTTCTAGGGTGGGATTTACTTGGGATTAATGGATTCAAGGGCAAAGTCCCAAGGGGAATAAGTTACGCCACCGAAGTTGCTCCACCCACATTCTGACTCAACCTACATTTCCATTCCAAATTCCAATTCAGATATCCAATGCACACTTTCATTTCCATATGTATTCCACTGGCCCTACTTCCAACGGTCTACTGGTCCTGTCCAGCTAGCATAGGGGATAGTCTGGTGTTGTTGCCCACCACTGCAGGGATAGGACACCATCGAGGCGGCACGCTACCAACAAACCAGCCTGACAGAGGGAGCTGGTACGCCACGTCACAGTATTCATGAGCAAATGTGTGATCGAACGAGGGTTGCGGTAATACCGATCGGTAGAATCTCTTTTGAGAGTGGTGGTTCAGCCAATGTTCATTGGTGGCAAGACCGTAACATTTACAAAAAAAATGTTATTCCACCAGCCAATATGAATTGGCTTAGATGAGGATGAAAACCAAATGAGTTGCCACTATTGTGTATACGTTACCATTTTGTATAGCTAGGGTTTGATACAGAAAATGGTGTTGTCATAACCAACCATGAATAATATAATATAAATTGGTTAGAGGCTAACCAAAGGTCTATTGGTCATGTTGACACAAAAAATCGGTTGTCCGCAAAAGTTGACCCAAGGATAGTGGTTATCATAACCAATTTGTTTTACGAGTGTAGTGATCGGTATGGGAGTCCAAAGTCATTGCATTATCTGGCTGTTTATTAGTTAGAAGGGTCAATGGCGAACAGTTGTGCTTAAAAAAACCTAAAAATTGATAAAATATCAACCACTTTAGAGTCCAATAAGACAAGTGAGTGAGATGATTTAGGAGCGGCCTTTCCACGCTAAACCACCCACATGTATGTATGTGCAACCAAGGCGTATAAGGAGTCTTCTGTGGCGTAAGTAAAAATGTATACACATAGATAAACCACACATTGGAATTACTGCCTGTGATTGTATTACCCTTTTTGGGGTGAAGTTGGTGGCACACCAACCACTACACAGTCTTAACAAATTGTGTTGTTACTTCTCTCGCTAGGATATACAGAGTGAATCAAAAGCAAAGTGACCGAACTTGATGTGTTCATTTGTGATGGCAATACTAAATTGGTTGCTATTATTGCTACGCCGTAAGGGCTTCGCGCTTCTGCCAATCAATCCTCGGAGCAGTTGCCCCTATGCTATAATGCTATCCTGGTTTAAACTTTCTTTTATAACTAATCTAAAATAATTAGCGTAGGCTGTATTTGTGGGAAAACAACGCTTTGTAGTATGGCCTGAATTATTTTACTGCAGACTGCAGTAGCCATGGCATAGATTGCGTAAACGGGGTTGGGAGCAAAACAGTAGAGAAGGGCGCGTATTTTTGTTGAATGAGGTCTATCCCCCATCCCCCGCTTTTCAAATTTGCAACGGCCGGCAGTGCGTCGCCCCCGCTCCACTTTCAAAGTTGTTCCGCCGCTGAGTAAGTTAGGAAACCCACGAATGTGTTTTGTTGACCACGTTGTGAGGCACTGACTTGTAATGTTTGAAGGAAAAAAACGACTTATTCCACAGCAAATATAAACTTTTATATTGTAAGGACAGTGTTATTTGGACATCACCTCTACTATGTTTTGTGTTTATAGAGTCTATAACCGGAGTAAACTTGAACGATGGCATCCAGACTGTCGACAGTGCTTATGTTTGCACTCGTGGCTCAGTTGTCCGTGCTGCCAGCTTTGACCAGCAGCAAGGGAAGCAATGCACTTGACTCGAAAAAGTACAAATTCTTATACTTCGCTTCCATTTTGGGAGGAAGCCACTACGTGGTCATGTGCAGATCGGGTAGGGCGCTGGTGCAACAGGGTCACCGTGTTGTATCCCTTGTTGGCAGCTCCAACTCCAACAGAAGCTGGCAGAGAGACGCCGACGTGTTCTCCTTTGTGGTCTTCAACTCGACCTATACCAAACAGAACAGGACCGACGTGATGGACAATGTATCTAAGGTGATCCTGCAGGGGCATCATAGTGACTTCTTCGGTCCTTTTCTGAATTCTGCGAATCTGTCAGGCAGACTGAGTGCAATGGATATGTGGCTTCAAGAGTGTGACGATCTTTTGGGAGATTCAATAACCATGGAGCGACTACGCAAGGAGAAATTTGACATGCTTGTTACGGATGACACAGCAGCATGCGGACCACTGTTAGCCCAGGCTTTAGATATCCCATTCGTTCATAACTCCGTCTTCTTCGCCATTCCGTCTAAACACGGGCATTGGTAAGATAAATAGCCTATTGGTACATTTCTTGTATGGAACTCTTATAAGTCCTTGGTCAGATTTGACCTAGAACTTTTGGCATATATTTAGTTGAAAGAATAACCAAAACACTTTTTGACACGAGTTTCTGGTATTGTCAGCATAAGTGACAGACTTAATAGAGAAACTGGAGATTTGCACAAAACTCCCGTAGCGTATTGTACATCAGTGTTGTTATCGCAATTGTCTTTATACAGCTCTGAAAAAAAAATGCCATTGTACGGGCTTGATTAAAGTCGCAATTGCTGTCGGCAGAAATACGACATGGAGGGATTGATCCAAGCACAAGGTGCTGTGAAACTGTTTGGGGCTCAGAAGCTGTTTCTTTTTTTTCATTTTTCCCCATTATATATATATTTCAAACAGGACTGGACTTCCAATCGAGCCCTCGTACATACCAGCGCGAAGTACGGGTTTCACCAACAAAATGACGTTCCCCCAGCGAGTGAAGAACGTTTTAGCCCACTATTTCTACGGTGTTGTCTTATTCCGTCTGGGCATGTGTAACTTCGATGGTTATGATAAGCTAAAGGTCAAGTACAACATCAAGCCAGAGATGAGTACTCTGGAGTCCTACAAGCAAGCCTTACTGTACTTTCTGCACGGGAGCTTCGCATTTGAATTTGCCCGCCCCATGCAGCCCAATACAATCCTTGTTCTCCATCATCCTGGAGTACACTCAAACCAAACGGTAGGTTGTCTTTGAATAATTAACAACCTTCTTTTTGCCGTGGGGGCTCCTGTGCGAAATGATGTGAGAGGCAAGATGCCTCTTGTAATGAACCCAAGCCATTTTAGTGAATAAGGTATATCATGGTAATATGTGCCATCTTGCTCGCGGGGAAATTTTACACGCGTTGCTGTGTAGGCATCGTCAATGGAAAACCTTGGTGCTTCCAAGTCACCATGCGGTCATTCCAAAATGCGCCCGCGTCTAACAACGCGTGTTCTTTTTGTCCGATGAACAAGTTAGCGCATATTACCGTGAAACACCTTATTGAACTTTCAGCATTGAATACTGTTGGTGAAGTTTGATGGTGGAGATGACAAAGATGTTAATGATTTTGAAGACGATGACAATTTCATTTGAGATGACAGTGAAGATGACTATGACAACAGTGGCGCACCCGGGATTTTGGCTTTTTTTTTAATGTAAGCCAAATGTTTTGGCGCAGAAAATATATATATATATATGTTTGAGGGACGGGCTATTTTGATATTGGTGGCGACATTTACACCCCTATTGCATTGCTCAAATATAGACCACATACATCACCATGGTCAAATTGTATGACTACAACAAAAAAATGACACCAAAGAAGAAAAAAAAAAATTAAACTCTTGGGGGAAGGTCAAGCCCAAGCCTCCCCCTCCTGAGCGCCCCCCCCCCCCTCATTTAACCCTTACCGGGAGTAACGCAATCTTTTGTGCGGGTTGTCGGATCAAAGGGGTGTCGGAACATAGGGGTGTCGAAACAGAGATCAGTCACCGACAATAGTTTTCAAAGCTGTGAATTTGGACAGTTCGCATCAAATGTGCATTTTAAAAAAAAATGACCTAGACGATGACAGTGATCCTGACGATGTCAGTGGGAGTGATTTGATCAGACATTGACATGGTGATGATGATGATGATCGAGACGAGATCTGGATCAATAGCTTTAAAAAAAAAAACATCACCGGGCACCACGACGTATCTTTTTATACTATCCCTGTTTGTCTTTCAAACTCTCAGCTGGAAGACGACGTCGCACAGTTTCTGGACACTGCTCCCTCTGGAGTGGTGATGTTCTCCATGGGCAGTTTTGTTACGATGATGGAGCTTGAGCAGGCCCAAATGTTCGCGGATGCCTTCGCTATGCTACCGCATCGCGTGCTGTGGCAGTCAGGCGCCGACTTTGCAGGACTTCGGCTGGGGAACAATACCATGGTTGCCAAATGGTTACCCTTGACACACGTCATGGGTGGGTGTTGGTGGTTTTGTTCTGATCTACATATACATGGTGAACCAAAAAAATGCAACCCTAAAACATTTGCCTTTTATAAAACAAAATAACACTTTGGGTTGCTGAGAAAATACCGTTCATGAAAAAGTTTCATCCTGTACACACACAAATTATCACAGTAAGGGATTTTGACAGTACCTATTTGTGCATGTCCTAATTCCTTCAAACAATACAGCACATAAAATGCCAAGAATACAATTGAATTTGACGGGAATAACTTTATGTTCCACCTGAACAGGTATCTCGACCTTTTTAGTCCTATTTAAAACCCTTTCAGCAACATACATGACAACATACTAAACACAATGCACAAATGAAGGATAATTGCACCGTAGGCTTACAGTAAAATGTTTCAATGTTGGTAGTACAGAATGAAAATTACTACAGTTTCATAATTGACATTTCTCACCCCCCCCCCAAGTGCTGCTTTGATAATTTACTTTCAGTATTTGAAAGAAAGAGCCATCAGCTTTAATCTGATACTCAAAACATAAAAATCCATGATCCATTTTTGTAAAAGGGAAATATTTTAGGGAAGCTTTTTTTTTTTTTGGGGGGGGGGGACCCGGTACACGCACTTGTTAGCAGTCTGTACCTTCTTTTAGATCGTAGTTTATGGATTTGTTTGCCCCTGTATACAACAAATGCACACCTAACCGGTGCAGGTATAATTTTTACAAACCTTACCTGTTGTGAAGTCGTCCACATTATGACTGATAACAAGTCGTGATTAGTTGATATCAACTTATAACACCAGACACAGCTGACGGAATCTTACATACTAAACGTCCCTGCTCAAATTTGCCTCGGAATCTGAAAAATGGTCGTCAAATATAACCCAGATTCTGGATCAACTCTAACTTTGGATACTTGAGAGTGCATTATGTATGCATGAGTGAGAAAGCTTGAAATTATCAAAGGATTATCATCCGATGTACAAGTGAGCCTTTTTTCGACTATTTCCCAGCTGTTTTTTTTATACATTGCCAGGAGGTTATCTGCGAGTTTGTTTATTTCTTGTTCACAGAGCATCCTAATGTACGGCTGTACGTCTGTCAGGGTGCAGGCTTAGCTCTTAACGAGGCGCTGTGGGCGGGTTTGCCGATAGTTGGACTGCCGCTGATGGAAGATCAGATGGACAACTTGGTCCGCGTAGAGGCAAAAGGTGTTGGGCTGAAAGTGGATATTGCCACCATGACACCCAGGACTCTTAGCCAAAGCATCGGTAGAGTCATGACAGATCCCAAGTAAGTCAATAACGCAGACCACTTGATACAAACATTATCGGAAAACTTTTCTTGTGATGTGGGTAGCGTGGAGCTTGGTGGTCCAGTGATTAAAGCTTTCGAATCGTGCCGTGTTACAAGGGTTCAAAACCGCTTGTGTTGTTGGGTACAACACTCGTCTACAATTGCCGCTCGTATCACCACTAAGGAGTATAAATTGGAACATGTGGGGGTAGAGACTAAATTTCGATAATTTTGGTCTCATTTACACTATATTCTGATGAACAAAGGTTTAGAATATAAGCATTGCATTTATATTAATATTCAACTTTCCTACCTCTTCTTTTGTATTACTGTATAAACGTGTATGATAGATTCAGTGAGAACGCACGGCGCATCTCCGATATCATGCGAGATCTCGAGACCTCAGCCTCCCCCGTGGACACCATGGCTCGCTGGATACTGCACTTGGCCCGCTTCGGCGGGGATCACCTACGACCAGCCGTTCAGGATCTGAATTTTGTCCAGAGGAATCTTCTCGACGTCTACCTATTCTTGGTTGTCGCGCTGGCCTTGGTTACCTGGATCAACGTGACTGTGTTCTGCTTTTGTTTGAGGTGCATGTGTCCCAAAGGCTGGAATAAAAACCATCTTAAGAAGGAGTAGAATAACCTGGTAAATCTATACACTCTTAAAGGTCCTGGGTCAGATTCGATCCCGAATCAGGGTCCGTTTGACCTGACACACTTTAAGGTCAAAATGCCAATTGGTGTGCGTGTCTAAATGACACTCCACCGTGTCAAAGTGATGTTTTTCCCGTCAACTGGCCCGGACAAGTGGCTCAGATACGCGTCATTTTAAAACGGAAAAGTACAAAATCAAATCTGACTTAAAATCCAGGTCAAATCTTATCCAGGTCTTTCAATGATGGTTATAGCGCGATAACAAAACTGGCTCATGTAGATTACATCGCATTAATACAGATATTGTCCTGAAACAATTACGTCTATGTTGCACTACTTAATCAGTTATGATTTGAAAGTGGAATTTATTCATTCAAAATATGTTGTACGTGTAATGTGACTCGTACAAGCTGCAACCAATACGTAATGTACTCTCTCCTATGATCAGCTTCCGTATCAGTGTGATTTAAATGGCCAAATACCTTAATGTCAACTTAATTTAATGCATGTGCTGTTAAGATGAGCTACTAGCACTTTATGAGTCGTGTTATAGGTGATAATTTAATAACCAATGGATAATGTATAATGTAACAACAATTGACCGATACTTTATCACTAAACCGATAATATAACTGAAGTTGACTGACAGCAAGGTAAATATTACTAAGCTATATCAATCACTTTTAGTTACATTATTAGGACCAATAATGTAACAACAAATGACTGATAACGCAGTACATTATACTACACTATCGTTCAATTTGTGTTACTTCATCGGTTAGTGATACAGTATCGGTCCATTGTTGTTACATCATCGGTAAGTATTACGTTATCCGTTCAGTATTACATAGTTAGTTGTAACACGTCGTTTTAAACTCTTAACAGTCCTGGACCACAATTATTTGACCCGCCGATCCGGGTCAGATTTCACTTGACAATCTGACCTGGAAAAAGTGTCATTTGAACACAAAATAAAACTTGTCAGTTTATCCCCGAAAAGTTTCGATTTGACTCTGAAAGTTGTCGTTATTGAACCAGGAGTGTTTCAGGTCTCCTCCAACCCGGATTCAGGAACAAATGTGACCAGGGACTGTCTAACTACATTTTATTTTCTCCAAATTCCTCTCGACTGCACGTAAATTGGCAATGCATAACATTTCAGAGAAAAGATTTATCATTGAAGCATTTCTTTATCGAGAGGCGCCCTTTTTTGTTCCATCAAATCTTCAGTAGTACTAGTAGGACGTAAATATTAATAGTAGGAGATGATTTATCATGGTTTCGTTTTTATCATTTTTAATAAGCTTTCTTACTCGTTGCGCATTATTACTGATAACTGTTACAGTCAACGTGCGTTTGTAACATCAAAGTATATTAAAAACTCGCTACTCTGAAATTGTATGAAAAAATAACCAAAACGTCATGATAACTTTTTTGCCAACTTTGATTAAAAAAAAAATTCGATCATCTAGGTATATCATTTCAGTAACACATGACCAATTCTCCGAGGATTTATTGAATGCTTGAGGCAGATTTTCCGCTGTTTTTTGCTTAGTGCGTTATATTTTGTTCTGTTTTTAAAACTCCTTGGAATTTAGGAAAAGGGCCCAGTTTCATGACCATATATGCCTTACGGTGGGAGTCCCGATATGATAGGACACTGCCGTTGTGAATGGTGTGTTCGTCGTGAGAGCTTTTTCTCTATGACACCGTTATTGCGTGTGGAGGGACTTCAATGAGAAATAATTTCCCTCAATGAGAAATAATTTTGCGTAGAGTGGACGATGAGAAATTCGGACACATGCAGGAGAATACCGTACGCAAATGTCAGGAACTCAGGAGTGACAACCCTGCATCCTGAAATGAGACAGAATAGTACCATTTTAGGCGATTAAAGTTCCAGGAATGCAGAATGTACAGTCACCACTCCATGTACATGCATGAGACACCATAACATTTAGGATTGACTGACCCTGGGGGTTTGTTTTGGGGGTTTTCTATTCCTACCTCCATGATATGACCTAGCATCAGATTCATAATAAACAGTGATCGAGAAGTGATTGATTGCATGGTGTCCGGACTCCAGCTTCATCCGTATTTAAGTATATGGACGGACCCCAACCCTAGAATAACAGTGGGGCAGACCACCACATTACCATTAGCAAATAATACAAAAAACCAACTGAACAGAAATGTACATGGTTATGATTAGCATATTTCACGAGTTAACGAATATTTTTGGGAATTAGGTGGCGCAGTTTGTGACTGCTCTATGTTCCGACACCCCTATGTTCCGACACTCCTATGTTCCGACAATCCGCACATACGATTGTGTACTCCCGGTTAGGGTTGGCGCAAATGTTAGGGTTATAGGGTAAGGATTTCGCGGAACATCGGTAATGGGGAACATTGACATTAGGGAACCTTGGTATGCACCCTGAATTATAAGTTGATTGCAGTGGTAAGGGTTATTTCATGCGATCTATAGCAAGTTTAGTATAAATGGGGTCCGCTCATAAGTCCGACGCCCAAGTCCAAAATTTCGGACTTATCAGGCGTCGGACTTATGAAGCGTCTGACTTATGAGGCATAACATTTACTTATTCCGCCTCATAAGTCCGACTCCGCATAAGCCCGATGCCCCATAGAGCTCCGACGCCGCATAAGTCCGAAACAGCTTTTGTTTATTGACTTATGAGGCGTCGGACTCATGCGGCGTCGGACCTATGAGGCGGAATTTATGCATCATAAGTCCGACGCCTCGTAAGTCCGAAATTTCGGACTCATGAGGCGTCGGACCTGTGAAGCGTCGGACTTATGATACGTCCCCGAATAAACGCATGCGCTTTGTTTGGCGGCCGTTAAGACGTTCAAAACATGAAGAACGTGCTTATTTAATCAAATTTACATAAAGTTTTAAGTAAGCGTAATAAATTGTACGGTACAAACCGATCAGAGATGCTACCTGCTAATGGGATACGCAATTATGATTGTCATTTCAAATACAGTGGGTAACTTAAATGAATCGAGAATTTAATTTAAATAATAAACATGAATTAATAATAAAAATAATAATAATAATAACAATAAATCCGTACCATTACATCTGAAGAACGCCTGTATTTCAGCAAGGTCCTCACTGAGGATTAGCTTCTCCATATATCGGGGCGCTCCTTGGTGGTATGACCAAGCAGGAATGCGCATTCCACCAAGACGTATAGCGCTACATGCACGAGGAACATTTTACGGCAAGAACAAACGGGTGGTATACCAGATTGTGCGTTGTACACTAGTCCGATGAAACAGACTTTATGGCATAATACAAGCACTTTCTTGTCATGTGGGGAACAATAAAGTTGGGAGATTGAAAGAGAGTGTGTTTGAGCTTGTCATGTCATCCGCTGAACAACACGACGGCGAGGCCTGCTGATGAGGCGACCCATTATATATTGGCTTCACCGCTACATTATTAAATTGCTTCTTCATCCTCATTTCGATATCTCGGTATCCCTATATTGTAGTGTTTGACCAAAGAAGTATGTATAAATGGATCAATTAGGAATAATAGTTTGGTGATGCAGTTTCTAAGATCTGGCTTACAACCGGTTATATGGGGGCCTGGTCGCCGATAATGGCCCTGTAATTCTCTTGTTATAAAAAAACTCTTCCGTAGTCCAATTTAAAATATCCCACACCAAAAGTCCATCATATAAAAAAATATTACTAATCTGTCTTAGTTTTTTTTGTATTCAAATATAGGTTTTAGACAAGTTATTTCATTAAACACCTCCATGTTAAAGATGTGCTCTCGATGATCTTCATAAATTTATTTTTTCTCTTAATTAAAGAGATTTCAAGTTGTATGTTGTATTTCAACAGACTACTTGTTCTCTTTCTTGCGTTTTTGATTCTTTCTGCATACACACACGCATCTTCGTCAACACCTGCAATCGTGGACTCCGTATTGTCCCTAATCCTCATTCGTTAGTGTATGCCTTAACTTTTTAGCAACATCTCTCATTGGTTTTGTACACAAATTTCAATCGTGGACGTTCGGTCAATCGTGGACATATTGTTTATTCCCTAACCCTTTGTCCTAGGTCCACAATTGCCGACGTCTACACTCACACTGGCATACTCATTAAATAAACTTCGTTTCTGCAGGCCTCGTCTCTGGAATGCCATTGATTAATCTTCTTAATCTCTTAAGGAACTGATCAATTATGATCAAGTTCAAGCAGCGTTTCATATCAGGTGTCTCGGCCTCCTGCTGCACTTCAAGCCATTTGTGGAAGTTCAGCTGAAGCCGATTTGCGAATCCGTTAAATGCTCATCTCCTCTCTTTGAGACGGCCTTGAACTTGAGACGGTAGGCCTGTGGAGTCAAACAGTAACGATGTTTGATCACCTCAACTATTTTGCCCAAGGACCTTCTTATCGGTCTCACTGAGCGAGTGAAATTCCTTCTGGGCTTATCCTGTGAGATATGGCTCTAGCAATCTTGGATGCTCTGCCTTTGGTTTCTTGGCTGCAGTGGCTAGTCTCTTGAACGTAGCGATATAGCAGGTGATATCGTCATCCGAGCTGAGTTTGTGAAAATCCGGCAATTTGGGGCACACTTGGATCACTGGAGGCTTAGGAGTGGTTTGTTTCATGGCCTCCACCAACCACTAACAGAGGTTGTCAGTTTCTTGTCGGCGATTAATATCGAGTTCCTGTATGATGAGTAAGGTCTGATGCACTAAATCCTTGTTGCTGAGTTTTACAATCGCTGGAATGCTGCGATCCCACCTTGCGAATGTACATTTTAAGTCTCCACATATATACCATTCTTGGTAGCTTGTCACTCTAAAAGTAAGTTAGTTATTCTAGAACTAGCTTAATAATTCACGCAAGCCGTAAAAAAACGTAACGCACATTGGCGGGTTCTTAGGAACTTGTATTCATGTTTAATCAATGTAACTAAATGGCCCCTTATAAACCTGGGCGGGTCGTGATCACGCTAGAGCTACTCCTCACGAGGGACGTAGCATTGCTGCCGCTCTCCAGCCAAATACCACGGTCCGGCCGTCTACATGGTCCAAGCCCAAGGGACCCGGAATTTAAGCCAAGACCATGATGCAGATCCAAGTCTGAGGCCTACCATGCCGGGAAACCAAGACCTGTCTCTCCGATGACCGGATCTGAAGCCAACACACTGCTCTGTTTACGCCTCTTATAACACCCATCTTTAATTATGGATACCGGTATCCCCTTAATTAATTTATAATTAATTGTATTCTACTGTGTAATTTAAAGTGGAGTGTCACCTTTCTTGA